GCCGTGAGAAGATGAAACCTTCCCAGGAGCACCGTGCGGCTTGGGAGTCGTGCCGTTCCTCTGGGGGAGCGATTAAAGTGGCAGAACCAACAAAAAAAAACCCAAACAATTTTACTCAGATCGGTCTCTTCCTTCCTTCCTTCTCCCCACTGCCTTTAGACCGCCCAGAGATACAAGAAGAAATTTCCAGGAAGGATGACAGGCTGCTCACCTTGTTGAAAGATGTGTACGTGGAGTCCAGAGATCCACCTGTGCGGGTGAGTCTGTCTCTCTGCAGGAGGCACACCGGCAGCAGCTTTGTGGTTTTCAAACTCGGCACACGTTCTGTATAAAGAAAAGTGCTCTGTTAGTGCCTAAAATCTCCCTTTTTATAGGTAAAAGTGATGTTTTCATTACTCACTTATTAGCACTGACTGTGTTTGGCCCTGGGTCTTGAACGTGTGATAGATTGTGATTATACAACCTTCTAAATGCTTATACAGTCTTCCTTTTTAACATCACGTTGATCTGTGGTTTTCACCTAAATTCCCACTTGTGCTTCCTCTAAGGCAGAAGGGTAGTTGGCCAGCCTTTTGCAAAGATGTGGGAGTCTGCCAGAGATCCCTTGTAAAGTTGTTAGAAGAAAAGAATCTGGGACTTCCACGGGGGCATGGATGTGGCAGAGGGCAAAGACGTTAACATTTGAGTGGAGTTCTTAACTGCTGATGTTGATGTGGTACTGTGAGAGACTTCTCCTTATGTGGCTGAGGAAGTGCCTTAGTTAGGTGTTTTCTGCATAACCTTCCCGGTTGTTCAGTGATCAGTTTACTGGTTGCTAGCAGCTGCACTCTTTGACCTGGCAGGCAAAGCATGCCCCTTCCAGTAAAATGCAGACTGGGGTTCAGTCTCCTCTTCTCCATGTTATGTTACAACTTGTGCAGTTTACCTGCTGCATTATTGGACCACTTTATTCTGGATGCCTTATTCAGTAATAAAAATTTTATAATCATCTAGCAATAAAATTCCTAAGTCTTTCTAATTTTCTAATTTCATAGTACAATTGTATGCAAGACTAAAAGTATTTAAAAATGCAGATTTCTGTAGTCTCTCCCTGAAGTTTCCAAGTAATCTCTATCCTTGATTTTCATAGTAGAGGTTAGGACCCTAATCTTGAAGTGCTGAAGGTCTGATTTCAATATCTCAATATTAATTAGTGAGCCAGTCAAGAGAGATTTGAGGAAAAGCCAAAAGTGGAACAAATCTTGGTGCTTGATTCTGTATCTACTCTGAAGTTGCTGCCATGTAGAACTTGCTCTTGTGCTGTGTCTACTTGCAGCTGTTAGGAGGAAAGAGCATGATTAATATGTTAGCACAGAGGCTTGGAGGTAAAACTCCATCCAAAAACTTCCTTCCTTTCTTGATGCTATTCTGAATACTTGGGGCATTGTGTGTGCATACATCCTGTAGGTATATTTGGTACGTCTGTCTGTGGTAAGTGGAAAAGCACCAGCTCTAAATCCTGACGGGGCAGACACCCAGAGACAGATCATTTTATGAAGACTTGAAAAATGGTTCATTATCTGAGTACAATTTTAGCACGAAGTAAGAGGAAGAAGTGGAGAACTGATAGCATTATAAGACATTTTTCTGTAGGTCAGAAACACTGTAGTATCCGCATCAGCGCTCTCAGCTTGTGAGTTACTACAGAGTGTCCGTGGGCTAATCCGTGGCTGTGGACTCTGATAACTTTAAAAATACTTTTTCTTAAATTTAAGAAAGGTTTTAATTGTGTCTTTTTTTGTAGTGTCATTCACTGGCTAAATCTTAATAAAAGGCAGTATGGGGAATGCAGAGCTGGTTTGGAAACGACTTGGGAGAAGAGACTTCATGTGTCTGAGCACGACAGTAGTCATGGGAGTTAAACTCCATGTGATGCTTCAAAATAGTTTATTTTTGTCCATCAAAGCTTGCTTTCTAGACAGAGCAAAAGAAAGAATATCTTGTAGTTGCAGAATTAAAATCTGAAAATGAAAAGAAGGGTAGAAATACCATATGAAAAAGATTTCCAGTGGGGTCAGAAGGAGCATACTAATTTGTAGTATGACTTTTTTTTTTTCCTTTGCCATGAATCAGTACCAAATGTTAGGTTATCTGCCTTTATGTTTGGCTACCAAAATCTGTAGTTTGCCTTGTGTGAAAGGCTGCTGAGTGCGTACAACACGAGTTCAGTGGATGGTAGCTCTTCAGAATTTGGGTGGGGTTGACATCGTATGCAGAATGGCTGTGGGAGAACTGGCAGTTTTTGTGCTATCAGGAAGCAAGGCTGGCTAAGCATTTTGAGGTGGATCTTTTTTTGTTTTTTAAATGCTAGGAAAATGAGGAAAGCTAACAGGAAATACAGTATTTAGGAAAACAGCTTTGCTACAGTATGCACAGTAAACAGAACTGCTGTTAAGCTCTTTTTGTTTTCCTTCCCACAACTAGGTAAAAGATGCAGGTGGTGAACATCTTCCATCTAAACAGGAGGAAAAGAGACTTACAAAACTAGGCAACTTGGGAGATCTAGATGTTAAGAAAGTTTCCAAAGGCAAAATTTCCATTGTGGAGGCTCTGACGCTTCTTAATAATCACAAACTTCATCCTCAAATATGGACTCCAGAGAAAATAGCAGTGGAATACAGTCTGGAACTGAAGGAGGTCAACTCTCTTCTGGAATTCTTCATTCCTTTCACTGTGAAGGAATTTCCTAAAGAAACCAAAAAAGCTATAAAGGCAACATAAAGACAATTACCAAACCCTTGTGTGATCTTACTTGTGTCTTAATTCTACTCTTGAGTATATTCAGTAAGATGTATTCAAGCAATTCCATTCTGGGTTGGAATAGCTTCGGTGAAATGCAGCGATTATGGGATAGTTTGTAAACCACAGTATAACTGAAAGTTGCATGAGAGCGTGTCACGCGGTTCTGATGATCCCATTCATGTGTTACGAGGTCAGGTGAGACACGCAAGTTCTGGTGAGAACATCAGCTGAGCAGTTTGCCTTTCTTAGCAGAGATTCCCTGGCCTTCAGCCAGGTCAGTGCTCTGTGTGTATCAGCACTGTACCTTCATGTTGCGGTGTTCTTTCAAGGACTTGCTGTCAAGGTGTGCGTAGACAAAAACAGCTCTACTTCTTTTGTGTAAGAATGGAATAGTATTTATGCTTTGTAAAGGTTAATTGCAGGATCACTTGAGAAATTCAGCTGCGTCAAACTCAAAGGTGGATAGCAAGAAGGCCTGTTCCTGATGCCGGAGCAGCGATGCGCAGCTCCTCCTCCACTCTGGTATCATTTAGCTTAAGTATCTGCCTCTCCCCAGGTGCTGTCTGTCAGTCAGTGCATTTGCAGAGTGATGACCTTCTGGCATCAGTCATGCAGCAGTCTGTGGCACCTACTGTATGAGGAAATAATGGTTCCTGTTATAATTAATAGGTAGCTGTGAAATGCAACTGGATCTGCTAACTGGACCCACTAGTAGGTCTTCTGTAAATGTCTGCCTGTCCTGCTACAACAGTCCTTTTTCCCTGTGGAAGTCTCCTCTGCCTTACCCAAACGTGGGCTGGATCAGGCCATGTTCAGTCACAGTATGTTACCCGCGTGCTACCAGACTGAGGGTGAAGAGCATCCTTTCCAGCCATTAGTAACGGACAACACAGCATGAGGTGGTAACGGCGGTTTGTAACCTTGACACTGGGACTGCTCAGGCCTGTGTTGGTAAGGAAGGAGTTTTGCGCTGATGATTAATACTGTCGTGAGAACTGGTTCATGTTTTCCAGATGAGGGGCAGGGGGTGATAATCAGAACTGATATTTAAAAATGCTTCACGGTTGCCTTCCTTCAAAAGAAAACCCAAAACTTAAATTTTATGTGGCACAAACATTCCTAGTCCCCATCACCAAAGAGTTTGAATTCATTCAGGGTGGGAATCAGTACCAGGCCTACAATGTAACTTGCTTTTTAAGAACTTTTCTGCCAGGCCTTAGATTTCAGACAGCAGTAAATACCTTACCAAGACGCTGGTCAGCTTTGCTGTTTCACAGCAAGATCCTTGCCGCTTCTCTCTCTGAGATGGAGCACGGTATTTACAGTACAGTTTGCCACAGCCTGTTCAAGGCTTTGCTTGGCGGGTTTCTGGAGCATGTAACGCTGTAGCTTAGCGGCAGATGACACCTGAGTGCGCTGTATTGTTCAGAATTGTTAGCCTTCGGATGTGTGGATTGGGGATAGGTTTGTCATTCTTCCCATGATGTAACGGGGACAGAGCTGCGCTCTGAAACTGATGCGCCTGAGTTACGGACTGCATAAAGATTTGTTGTTTTCCACAAAATGCTCTTGGTTTATAGAATGTTGTAATGGAAATACATTGTTATTTGAACACTGTTCGTCCTGATGTAATATTTAGGGTAATATTCAGCAAACATCTGGGGAATGCTTTTGATACAGATACTGTTGTTATTGCAGACTCTGATTTCCTTCTTTTAAAATGAATCGTTAATTAGGTATTGGAGTTGATTAAAAACTCACTAAAATCGGCACCAGACAACAGCATAACGCGCCCCTTGACTAACTTGGTGTGTGTTCTGGCTTCTTTTGTCTGCCTTTGGGCACTGCCTTGCAATGTGGCTGTACCCCGTTTCACAGAGGAGGTCCCTAGGGGCATCATGGTACACCGCTGCTCTGCTTACACTCCTCAGCCGGTGTGGCCTTGGGGATGTTGGGTGATCCTCACATTCAGTGCTCCAGCCATACCTTCAGGACAAAATCCGGTCCACCAATGAGATGCCTGCAAAGCTATCCCCGCTTTCTCTGGAGCCAGGATCTTGGCCTCAGAATATCTTGGCTGCAGCAAGTCCCACAGCACAGAGGTGAGCCAATGATCCATCTCCCTGGAAGCAGGTGAACTTTGGGTGGCCCAGAAGGCTTCTGTGGAGGAGGGAACTTCTCCACAGAGCAGGTTCACTTCAGGAAAAGACGCAATGCAGTTTGCCATCGCCACACAGATTCTTCTGCTGGTCACCTGTCCCACCTGCTGGGCAATGCCAAACCAGCACTGTGAAGCCATTGCTGGTGGTACGGGATCATGTAAAATCTCTGTCTATCCAAATTATCCACAGTCTGAATGTTTAGCTTTCCCTGTCTCTTCAGACATGGAGTGCTTTACTTGCCCAAAGCTCACAGGAACATCCAGGAGCATGGATCTTTTCTCTCTGCTGTGGTGGGAAAGCCTGTTCCTGATGAAGCACTCTCAGTGCTACTGTCTTCTGCATGGGCAACCAGACGCAGCCCACTGCAAGGTCCTTGGCACGTGTGTGCTCAAGCAGTGCTCAAGTGAGTACGTGTTTGGAGATAACACCATCATCAGGGCTGATGTCTGGGACAAGACCATTCTTACTGTTGCATCTGGAGAAGCCTGCATCTTCTCAGCCTAGAGAAGAGAAGGCTCTGGGGAGACATTCCAGCACCTTCCAGTACCTGAAGGGGCTACAGGGAAGCTGGGGGGGACTTTTTACAAGGGCCTGTAGTGACAGGACAAGGGGTAACGGGGTTAAATTGAAAGTGGAGAGGTTTAGAGAGGGTGGGAACAGGGTGCCCAGAGAAGCTGTGGATGCCCCATCCTTGGAAGTGTTCAAGGCCAGGCTGGATGAGGCTTTGAGCAACCTGGTCTAGTGGAAGGTGTCCCTGCCCATGGCAGGGGGTTTGGAAATGGATGGTCTTTAAGGTCCCTTCTAACCCAAACCATTCTGTGATTTTTTGTTCTTTTCTAGAACTGCTTCTTTATTTTCTTCCTGCTTCAAAGGACTCTCCACTTGTCACTTCTCTTACCTTCTTACCTGTTTCTGGGTATGATGCAATTTCTAATCAGGAGAATAATGGTATTACACTTTTAACTTGGTTTTGTCTGTGCCCCTTTCTGTCTATATCCCTTTCCCGTAGCTGTTTGCTGTCAGCTTAAGGAAAAGGTACTTTTCAAGCAACTGTTTTGAAGAGGTAATTGTGGGGAATTTGTGGGAATCTGTAATTCAGTTTTCTGGGAGTCATACGTGAAGAATTTTTCATGTTTCACTGCCATGCATGCAGTGCACCAAATTTAGCTCAGATGGTTTTGGCCACCATACAGAATCACTACATTTGGTAAGGAACAACCTACCTCGCTCAAACTGCTTTGTTCTTGCTGAATTAATGAAAAAGCGTATGAAGTATAAGGTTTGTGAGACTGAAAGGGGGTTGTTTCATTTCTAATGTAAATGACACACAGCGAACTTCTTTATATAGGGCATTGTTACAGCAGCTTTCCAAATGTCACTGAATAAAGCCAGGGCTACCTTGGGCACTGAGATAGAGTGAGTACACAGACGGAGCCTCATTTGGAAACGAGGGTTACATTCCTGGTGAGACATGAAGTTGAATTTCTTCAGGGGAGTTCCAGCATATATACTGGAATTCCTGGCTTGAAGTTTTGAAAACAAAAGAAGTCTCTTTAGGGGGAGTCTAGTAGCTCACTTACCCATGTTTTCTGCAACACAGTCCCATTCCTTTATCCTTGTTCTATCATTAAGTCTATTCCCAGCCTTCTCCAGCCAGTCTTCTCTGATATGAAAACTTTGTGAATCTGCGTTCTTGCTCTTTACTGCCTCACATGCAAATGTTTGTTGTATTCTGCCCTTTCAGTATCAACAACCTGTTTTCTTTCTGCAGAGCTGTCTTGCCTTCTAGGAGTAGCACATCTGCTGAGGTAAAGATGAGAGGATTGAGCACATGTTTTGCTCTGCAGAAGTGATGAATAGGACAGATTTTCAAAAGGGATGTAGCTTTTCATACATCTTCAAAAGCTGCTCTTTTGGGCTATGTGAAACTAAGTAATCTTGTGCTGTCTCACCACGTATAATTGTAGCTAGGTTCTTGCAGGCTGACACCAAGTCAGCAAGATTGGAGCTGTGAGGCAGTGAAGAGTTTTAACTCTACTTTCTGTGCAGGTTAGTCAGAGGGAACTTCAGTACTAAAAGTCACCTTTCTGTAGCCTTCCAGCACAGGGAGCTTGTCATTTAAGCTACCTCTTTTTACTGAAGAGTAAAGAAAATTACATGTGAGAGGTGTGTACTAAACTTAGAAAATGGAATAGCTTATTTCGGTATTGAAAAATGGAGTCAAACCTCAACTAGTCATAAACCAGGATCAAAATGCAAAAGTTTAAAAAGGCATGTCTTGCCTTGCTTTCTATGAGCATCGTGCTTTCACACCTGAGATCGCATGAAACGTCATGTTTCATGGCTCTGTTCTGGAGCCCCTTTCTAAACAGTTTTCTGTTAGAAAATGGAATAGCTTATTTCGGTATTGAAAAATGGAGTCAAACCTCAACTAGTCATAAACCAGGATCAAAATGCAAAAGTTTAAAAAGGCATGTCTTGCCTTGCTTTCTATGAGCATCGTGCTTTCACACCTGAGATCGCATGAAACGTCATGTTTCATGGCTCTGTTCTGGAGCCCCTTTCTAAACAGTTTTCTGTTCTTAATCAGGTGGTGCCAGTGCTGATGCTGAACCGACAGCAGGGGAGGCCTGACCAATGCAGGTGAGCTTCAGGTGCAAATGGATTTTGGCACTTGAGACTGCAGCAGCTGTATGCCGACTGATGTGCTATTAGCAATCGAAACACTGTGTTTGCGCCTGTTGTTATTACATCTGTTTCCAGCAATCTACAAGCCTAATGGATTCTGTAACCTTGCATGCTTTAGGTACTGCAGTGTTGTTGTCAGAGCTAAGTGTTTTCTGCTGAAAAAAACCCCAAAACACATGGATTAATTT